CAAATATTCACCTTAAACTCATGCTGAAAATGTTTTTCTTTTACAGCATGCGGATTTTCGGAATCCCACAAATGATTGTTCTTCCAATTGAAAACTCCCCGTCTAGTAAATGTCGCCTCATCGGTAAATAGAATCCTATTGAGGAAATCTGGGTTTTCCATTTGCATATTTTGTACAAACTGAGCAAATTGTAGGCGAGCTGGTAAATCTTGAGGCAATAACTGCTGAACCGGAGTATAATGATATGGATGGAGCATTTCTTTTTTCAAAATTCTACAAATGGACGATTGGCTTACCCCCGTTGCCGCACTTAACCGACGAGTACTCATACCGGAGTTTTCTGAAACACGAATTAAAATTTCCTCTTCTTCATCGACTGTGATCGATTTTGGAGTACCATGGTTACTTTTTGGTCGAAAAGATCCAGATTCGCCTAAGCGGTTGTAAAGATTTCTAAATAGTTTATAATTAGGTTGCAATCTATTTGGGTACATGTGTTCATATCTTCGGGCCGCCGCATGTCCATTAAAATTAGCCTGGGCAAAAACACAAATCATATCACGCATCTCACTGTTTGAAAAATTATTATGTCGTGGCATTTTTTGAGCACTAACTAACAATTTTGAACGAATAATAAAATCACACGCATGCAAAATACGCTAATATTTATTGACATGAAAATTTGACACAAGCCTACTTAGAAAAGAAATAGCAATATCGACGCTTGAAAGAAAATCACCACAAAATACATTGAAACTTTTAAATGCAAATAACTCAGAAACCGATAAAGTTAGGTGACCTAAACAAAAGTACACTTTTTATGTAGAATTGAACGTTCTTTTAGATTTTTAACTTTTCTGAAGCATAGGTCAACAGATAAAAAAAATATGTTTTGATTTACCTAAATAATATGGCGGAACTAGCGCCCTCTAGGAGCAACGTCAAAATAAGCTTCAAATTCATAATTCTCACACCAAAAAACCCAATAGTACCAATTTTCAGAGTCATGCTATTAAAACTTTCCCAATTATTGAGAAATTTCAAAATAAAATTTAAATCTTAAACACCCTGTATTTCTTAAACCAGCGACATTCGTATAACGCATGATGAGCTCAAACATAATATTTTGGTGTCTAGTATCTCCAGTTTACTGTTGACCCATTCTTTCTGACTCACCCTGTATATGTAATTTATACTGCATTGTCAAATAGTTTGTTTAATAGTTTATTAAAAAAATGTTTATTTATATTGTACATACAACAGATATACGGGATTAAAATGCTTCACACAGCATAAATGTAAATTATATGTAAATTAATAAATTCCTAGAATCCAAAAGCTCTTTATTTTCATGATACTGGTGTTCAAATTTAATTAAAAATATGGTTTATTTCAAATTATTATCATAACACTTTTAGCAATAATTATATACAGTAAAACCTCTGTTAGTGACCATCTGTGGTCAACCGACCACTTCTAGATAACGACCGATTTTGAATTCTCTCAATTTACAAATGGAAATCCCCTTGTTTTTAGACACACCAATAAAGACCATTCTCTTAAACGACGGCACGCAGCAATCTACTGGATGTTCCAGCATACAACAGTATTAAAAAGTCGGTAGAACATTATTTAATGGTAGTAGGATTCACAAAATTTATATCTTAAACCGAAGGAATTTGGTAAGAGCGACTCCGCCCTATCCGAGGTTATTTATCCAGTGAAGGATATTGGCGCATAGTTTTAATTTTAGTTCTATTTAGAATTTTTATGTGTTAACGTAAATATAATCTCGTACATTTTGAGCATTGCTGGGAAAAGAAAGAGTCTTTCTATTAAAGAAGAAAGTGATATTATCAAGAAAAATGAATTAAATGGTTTGAGTACCGGGAAATTAGTTGAAAAATTTCAAGTAGACAATATGCTACAAAATAAAGAAGTTAAAAATTTCTATTACCTAACAAGGTGGCAATGCTGAGCAAAAAGAGTTGGTGTTCAATGTGGACGAGACTGGCCTTTACTACAGTGCGTTACCAACAAAGACCTTTCTGTTAAAAAAGTATCCACTGGAAGACAAAACGAAAAAGAACGAATACAATTTCGTTCTGTGTATCGAAGGTGAGAAGGAGCCTTTTATTGTAGGAAAAAGCAAAAATCCTCGATGTTTTAAGGGAGCGCACATGGTTCTCAAATGGGTCTTTAACAAAAAAATTAAAATTATGAAAATATCTTTGATAAACGATTATTTAAAAAAATAACCACAGAAACGAGAATGTACTTTTCTTAAGGATTTTGGTGCGCTGATTCGAATCCGAGGTCCAAATTTCTCAATTGGCTATGATTTTCGAGATATCCTAACCTAAAAATGCCAAAATCGCGTTTTTTTGACATATTTGAGGTTATGTTACATGGAAAGGTACATTTTTTGCTAAAACCATTAATGGGGTCTTAAAGTACTATACTTATTCTTTAAAACGTACTTGGATTTATCCCGATTTCATTTTTGGTCTTTGAGAAATCGCAATGTTGTTTAGTAGTTTGAATTATTTCTCGATTTTTGAATATACTTACAACACAGCACCACAAACCTAAATTCATCGGCACCTGAAAGTAGGGTTCTTACATGTTTCTGGGGTCACTGATGATAAACCTGAACTCCAAAATATTCTATCAGGCAAATTTTACAATTAAAGTTAAAAAAATGTCTAAAAATTCGATATGTGGCCGATATTTTATGTATTATATATCAGATATCAGTCTGGATATACATTTACACGCAAAAGAGGCTAATACGCTCCCGAACTCATAAACCCTGAGCCCAAAAACCTTAAGCCTGTAAACCCATAAACCCTTAACCCATAAAATCCAAACCCATAAACTCTAAAAATTGAGAAATAAGTCAAATTATTAAATTTCAACATGCGATTTCTCAAAGATGAAAAATGATATCGGGATAAACCCAAGTGCAATTTAAAGAGTAAGTATAGTACTTTAAAACCCCATTAATGGTTTCAGCAAAAAATTTTACCTTTCCATGTATAGTCTTTCCGAAGTCGGTTGAACATGTAAGAAAACGCCTGGTAATAAAATTTAATGAGTTTCATAGGCGTCCCTAAAAAAGTTATCCGATAAAGGTAAACAATTATAATAATTTGTATATAATGTGCAGACAATTTCTATTATATGTTGATTTGGCCAACAACATATTTTAATTATTTATGTTCTCAAACAATTTTATTATATTGACGGTAAATTTCGTTTTGTTCCGTTTCAAAAGGTCTCCAAAATGCCATGTTGTGATAATATTAGTAAACAAAATATCCCTCTTATTTCTCCCTTTCGCAATTGTAATATCAATGATTAATAGAAGATGACTATAATAATAAATTCCGCATTGTTGCACTGCAGTGCTGGGCAATTTGTCGACCACTTGTCAACGGCTGAGATTTATTGCCCAGTGGCCCAATGCAACCGTCTTTGTATTTCGTTTGCCCGCTCTGGCATTCTTCAATTGGGCGTATACAGTTCTACCATCTCCACGTTTAATTCGACCAGACCTGTATATGGGTATGAATAAATAAATATGGGAACAAGTTTTTCAGATATTTCAACGTCAAGTTACTGCGTTAGTGACCGAACCTGATACATACTGTCATCCTCTTGGTTCTTCAATTGATATCGGAAAGACTTTAACATAATCTCAAATATGTCAAAACGTCGCGAATTTGACTATTTTAGGTTAGGATATCTCAAAAACCAGAGCCAATTGGGAAATTTGGACCTCGGATTCGAATTCAGCGCACCAAAATCCTTTGAGCAAATATATTCGAGTTGTTGGGTTAAAATATTGTCGGCCTCTGTAATAATCTTACTCATACATATTACGTATTTTTTATTTATACATAGTTCTATGTTGTAGATATATCTATTTAGTTTGTTCTATTAGTTCTTTATAAATTTAAACTGTAGTGTAATTATAATTTTTAAAGACAAATAAACCATGTTAAACATACATCAATAATTTTGATGTATTCTCTTTTAAACGACCACCTCTCTTCAGCGACCAACTTTTTATTCCCCTGGTCGGTGTTAAGTTTCTACTGTATAATATTTTGTAATTTTTTTTGAAAACGGTGCTTCCTGGAGGCATACAACAAGAACATGTATTTTTATAAAGCCTTTACTGGCTAACAATTACAGCTAATCTAATAGAAGATATCTTAGAAAAAAAAGCATACACAATTTCTACTAACTCCACTCCTGAACTACGCTCTGTATATAAAAAACTACCGTGTCCTACACATACATTCATGAACATTTAAAAATTAAAGTTAAATATTACTTGAATATAATTTCGTTAATTTGAGAAGTGGAAGTCTCCATTAAAGTTTGGTTTAGGATTTTAGTTACACCCTATATAAAAAAGAATGCATTTTTTTTCTAGTGGATATTGAAATTACAATATTATTTTCAAAATTGTTTTAATATTCCAGTATGGGAACACTTTTTTTAATTACGCAGATAAAAATAGTTTGTGGAATGAACATAAATAAATATCAGAATAAATAGAACAAGAGCATACCGTGAATAAATTAACTTCCGTTATGAAATTTAACTTAACTGTGGTAAGCCCCTATAAAAATATGGGTTTGGTTCAACGTTTGTATTTGTGTAGCTGGCAAAAATTCCAGAGCATAAATAAGAAAGAACTGATTTATTCTTAGGGTAATTACAAAAAGAAATTTTTTATAAGTTATAGTTCACTAGTCTAGAGATTATAATGTAAATTAAAAGATCTTTATTTTCTATGTCTATCCGGAAAGCATAATAAATACATATAACTAAATTTTTTTTTTCCACTATCAAATTAGAATCATTTTGTATTGTTCACATAACTAAGAGGACAAGAAGATGGCATCTATATTTTTTGCAGTAACCACTGCACAGTCTATACTGTACTTCATAAAATACTAACATGTATGTACAAGTTTAACTTACAAATAAATTATCACATATTTACAATTTACTACTGTTAAATTAAACGTGTGTAACTTGGGATTTATCACTGCTATATGTATCAACGTCATCATCATTAACTGAATCAATTTGCAATTTTTCAACGTTGTCGTCAAATGCTACAGATTTTCTACGATCCTTGACGGTGCCGTTTGGTGAATCAGAGGTATCCTCACTTATTGGATGAAAAATGAATCCGGTCGGTCTCCTTTCTTCTAAAGCGCTGGATTTGCTGAAAATGTTGCACTAGTTAATTGCGTTATTACCTATTTTTCCAGGCCTTTCCACATGTACAAGTATAAGCACACCAGTAGATGAATAGCTCTTATCAAGAAGATATCTTAAGGTCTTTCGAGATAATTTAAAAATGTGTCATTTAAGATAATTGTGTCGAACGTGTCATTGAAAGTCGTAAACGTCGAAGCCAATATTTATGTCAAGTTCAACAAACTTCACTTGAGTGTAGCAAGGTAGGTATATCATGACAACATTCCCTTTTTTGCCTTCTTTTTGTGTTCCACACCAAGTGAAATTTGTCGATCAGTACTATTTCTCTTACAGTGTTGAATATCCTGTAAACAAACATTACAAAAGTGGTACTGATTTCTTACTAATTAAAACTGGGCTATTTACATTATTAACAACACACTACACACTTTAATACACAACTACAGTGTGCATCTGTTGAGTTCAGAGCTGTTCAATCTGAAAAAAATTATATTCGGTGCAATATGAATGTCGAGAAAAGGACAAAGAAATAATTAAAACAAGTCCATAACAATGTTTAACAACTTTATTTATATTTATTTAAATTAATTGCTAAGAATTGAGTGCGATTGTTCGTATGTATGTGTGTATGTGTATTGTGTATACGTGTAAATGTGATGGTGTCACATAGAGATGACATTAGAATGTGTGTGTATGTTATGTATACTCCTTAAAAAATAATGAATTTAGTACAATATTCCTGATTTTTAACTCTATAACAATGCAACAAGACTTCTACCTATATTAATTAAAGCTTAATAATTTACATCGATTAGTTTGACCTGAGTACTCACTTGGAGGACGGCGATCTCGAGAGAGAGTTTTTGCCAAATCTAACCCTACCACTTCCATCTTCTTCTAAGTTTGCGTAGTTCTCACTTCTGCAAGTCAAAACATTTAGCTTTTATTATACAGAGATCGCGACGTATATTACCTGATCTTGAGGAAGTAGTAAGCGAGAGCTCCTGCTATACAAGCAAGTAACAGAACAGATAATATTGCTGTTACTACTATAAATGTAATTCTCATATGGTGTAATTCAGTCTTGCTGTCTTCATCATCTTTATCGCTACTATTGTTGTCATCTTCATCTTCATCTAAAAATACGAAATATACACATAACCTCTGTATTCTACAAAGCTGTTAAAACTTACTGTCGATTCCAATGTTCAGTACGGCTGAAGAGGTATGGATGGTATCTTTAATTTCAGCCGTCAGTGTTAGCGAAATGAAATTACTTTTTACTGCGTTGGATGGCAAACTATTTATTAAATCAACAGTTACTGCCTTGTCGGAGTAGGTTGTGTTGAAGTAATCTCGGTACAGTGAGTCTGAAAAAAAAAGATATCAGAAGATAAAAAGGTATGTATTGCTAACTTTGGGTTTGTCAGAATTACAATATGTTAAATTGGCACGAATGGACTAAAAATAAATAATATACATTTCTATAATTTTCGGGAAAAAGTAAAGACTTAGTAATCTCACAATCCTTTTATTTGTAATGTTCAAAAGACGACATTACAAATAAAAGGATTGTGAGATTACTAAGTCTTTACTCTTTCCCGAAAATGATAAATATGGACTCACACTTATCAATTTCAAATTTAATATGCATTTCTCTTTGAAGAGTTGTCTATATTCGTTACCAAACAAGGTATATATAATTGGAATCAGAACAATTTACCTTCTGAAATGCTAGTTATTATATCGCTGTCTGGTCTGTTTGTAGAAATTTTAATTGAATCATCTAAATTAAACGAACTCTTTCCATTTTGAATTGTATATTCCCCAGAATAAAGAATTGATGTAAATTGTATGGAGTCAGTATCACCATCGCTATCGTCTGAAATTTAATGTTATTCAATACATATAATTTTATTGCAGTACATTTTTAATTTAAACTATATTTAATACCTACATTTTATCTCTATATTAACCACTGCCGAAGCTTTATAAGACTCTCCATTAATTTGTGCTTGTATTATTAAAGGAACCACAGAGTAACTATTGAGAATTTCTTCCGTCAAAGCTTTCTCTATTTCGATATCAACTGTACCCTCAGAATATGCCACCGAAAAGTAGCTAGCGTATTCTAAAAAATAAATATGAGTTAATACAGATGCTACAGAAAACTATAACAGAAACGTGGTACGATTTTGAATGGCAACTCACCATTGGTTACTGTTACAACAACGTCACTACCAGCTGGATCGGTATCAATTGTAATTGCATCGAAAGTCAATTTAGGAGAATTATCAATTATTTCATATTTTGCATTATATAGTAGATCTGAGAACGTGACAGACCCTTGATCATTGTTAGCTGAAATAGTTTTTAAGTTAATAATTTCTTCCAACACAGTATCACATAAAAGGAACGGTATCAGTTTTCTATATTATGTGCAAATTGTAATGAAAATTTTAATAGGGAATTCACAAAAAGTTCATATAAACATGTGTGACAGGAAAGTGGTCTTTAATATCGTTCTCAAGTAATTTGACAAACATTTTAGTTATATATTTTCTTATTGGTATTACTTACTGTTACTATTAATATTGATGTTAAGTACAGCAGAAGACTCATGAATGGTATCTTTGATTTTAACCTTTAAAGTCAAGGCAATGAAAGTATTACTATTCACTACTTCATCGGGTAAGTTTTTGTTCAAAGTAACTGACACCTCACCGTTGGCATATGAGACATCAAAATATTCTTCATACTCGGCATCTGTAAGATCATAAAAAATATTCACTTTGTAATTGATATGTATAAACAATAGCAAACATTTTTAGGACAATGAATTAAGAACGATATAATTAACTATTGACCCACAGCCATTATAAGTATAAAAAAAATTCTTGAAATAATTTTACCCAGTCCACTTTATTTTCATGTTGAAAATTTAATATCTCGTACCAACACGGATTTTTATAAGTAATTATACCGCAAATCCTATCGAAAAAAAATATTCTGAAACTTCGGATGCGGAAAATTATTATTATTTTTGCATATACTGATTTTTCTAAAATATTCAGTAGACTTGATCACAATCAGAGTCAAATTAATGAATGAGTGAAATCATATGGTCTATCCACTGTTCTGTTTAACTATTACTTCAGTATCTGATCTTCAAGGGTACCCCAAAAGCTAAGACTGAGGCCACTTTTGTCTATTGTTTTTTTAATGATTTAACGAAATATCAATTACTTACTCTACGCGAAAAACCTTAAGTTGCTTCTGGAAGTTAAATTTTCTACATGATATATTTTTTTCATAGATAACAATAAAAATTACATATTTTTCCCTGGGCAAATATTCATATTTTAGACTTGACTTACAATTATGTCATCAGGCCACTTATTTACGCAACATTATGCAAACGTTATCTGTAAGGGGTATTTCATGAGGTACTTCATCCTTAACATTTTTATTTTTAATATATTTTAAACAATTGTAGATAAATATTGATCTCCAAACCTGTTATTTCACGTCAATATTTTCAATAAAAAAATTAAATATATACCAGAAATGCTGGGTTGCACCAGATCATCGGTACTGGTTGAAATTACTTTAATAGACTGATGCACTTCCATACTTCCTTTTCCATCACTAACCGAATATTCTCCAGTATACAGCAACGACCCAAATTCTATTGAGTCTGTGTCATCTTCGCTGTCGTCTGAAATTTTACAGTTGAAAATGCGTCCAAATTATCCAGATATTGTTGATACTTACATATTATTGCTATATTTACAACAGCTTCAGAACTAACCGAGGTGCCAGTAATTTCAGCATGTAAAGTTAACGGAACCACAGAGAAACTATCCACAATTGTTTCTGATAGCTGTTGCTTTATAGATATTGTAACCTGCTTCTCAGAATACTCTGCAGAGAAGAAATTCTCATATTCTGTAAATAGTATGAATAGTTTCAGTTTCTTTACGCCCACATTACTCATACATATATAATGAATTAAGTAATTTCTTTAAAAGCATGATGTTACATTAAAAACTACATTGTTCCATCTGACTCACCGTTTGTTATCGTTAAATTGATGTTAGCATCGGGTTCTTCAGTGTTAAGTGTAATTGAGTCAGTAATTTGTAGCAAACCAGTTCCATCTACAACTTCATATTTTCCGACATAGAGTAGATTTGAAAATGAAACAGACCTCTCTGAAAAAGAAATATGTTGTGTACTAACTACAGTACCTGATGCACCTTTATTTTAATTTGTGGTATTACTTACCGACTCTATTAATGTTGATGTTAAGTACAGCCGAGGAACTATGAACGGTATCTGTGATACTAACTTCTAAAGTCAATGTAATGAAAGAATTACTTTCTACAGCGTCGTCAGGTAAGTTTCCTTTCAATGTTACTGACAGTTCACCATTGGCGTAGGAGACATCAAAATAATCTCTATAAACAGAACCTGCAAGATAATAAGAACATATTTATTAATACAAAAGCTACAGCAAAAATTTGTATTTCTTTTATTATATTTTATATCATACTGTCTGATAGATTCATAAATAGCTCACGACTAAATAATTAATAAATATATAAATAACGCAGAAACATTGTTTTAACTCACTAAGGCCCGGTACATTGAGTCTCGGTTAAGACTTGATTAACTAATCAGACGATTAGACTGTGAATATACTTTTATAAAATAAAGAAGTTATATGTACAGTTTAATCATCTGATTAATTAATCAAGGCTTAACGGAGACTCATAGTACCGGGCCTAAATGTAAACTATTAATAATTATGGTTTGTTATTGTGTTTGTCTAATATTTACCTTCAGAGATGTTGGGTTCTATCAGATCATCCGAACTAGTTGAGATGACTTTAATAGACTGATGCAATTCCAGGTTTCCTTTTGATTCACTGATCGAATAGTCACCCGTATACAACACTGATCCAAATTCGATTGAATCGACATCATCATCGCTGTTATCTAAAATTTAACAGCTGTAAATGTATCCAAATTATGCTGTGGATTTTAGTACTCACATATGATAGCTATATTCACAACAGCTTCAGCACTGACCGAAGTACCTTCAATCTCAGCTTTTAAGGCTAATGGAACCACAGAGGAACTATTCAGAATTGTGTCTGTCAACGATTTCACTAGAGTTATTATAACCTGATTCTCAGAATACTCCACAGAGAAGAAATCATCGTATTCTACAAAATGTTTATTTTGGTGTTTTGTCTTTTGTTTGGTTATAAATATATATTTCCAAAAGGAAAATCAAATCGACTGAAAATTTTGTGATTGACTCACCATTTGTTATCGCCACATTGATATTACCATCGACTTCTTCAGTACTAAGTGTAATTGTATCAGTTTGTAGGGTCCCCATTCCATCTACAATTTCATATTTTCCATTATAGAGTAAACTTGAAAATGCAATTGACCCTTCCGGTTGTTCATCTGAAATGATTTTTCATTTTATAGAAAACATTGCTTTAATGCAACAAACAATATTCTCGAATCGTCTAGTAAACAGCCACCGCAAATCAGTGAAGTTGTATGGTTATTATTAAATTAATTTTAAGGATAATTTTAATGTATTGAAGTGAGTTTGTACCAGATTGTTTGATTCTTACTTACAATTAAGTTCAACATTTAATATAGAAGATGACTGTATTGGTGTATCTGTAATTCCCACCGTCATTACTAGGGGTATAAATGAATTCTTGGCCAACACGTCATTAGGGATGTCTTTCTCTAAACCTACCGTTATTTCGTTACTCGAATAGCTTACACTGAAATATGATTCATAACCATCACCTGGAAACAAAAATAATCGATATACATATTAAAGAAAATAAAATGCAAAAATTTTCCTTTAATAGAAAATTCCAGCTGTAAACTGTAGAATCACGTATGTATGAATGACGTGTTCTAATGTATAGAAATATAAATTATAATGGATTTCAAACAAAATATACACAGGTTAGCTTTATTCGACTGGCTAACTTCTAGGGTTCTTTACTTATTCAAAATTGACACCAGACTACCAAAACAACTAGGAGTCAGTTTTTTCCTGTACAAATATACCGGAGTTTAAATTTTTAAATATATTTTAATCAGTTCAAAACCAAATTTCATGTGAACGTTTTTCGTCTTGTGGAAAACGTGAGTTTAAAATTTGTAACATACATGGTAATTGAGAAAACTATTTTCAAGAAACAATTTTAAATGTATCATCGTGTCACAATTATGTCGAAGAACATCAAGGAAGGCACTGAGGTTTATCTTCAGAGATAAATAAATGTTTCTTAAACATTGGAGAAAACCACTACTACTATATAACAGTTCTACCGAGCTGTGGAAACTTATGTAATAAAAAAAAATGAATAAGTTTAAGAAGGGAAGAATATTTAGTGTAAATTTATACAAAATATACATACATACCGGGTGTCCCATTAAGGTCATCGACCGGCTGTATCTCGGAAACTATTTGTCCTATAGATTTCGGGAAAAAAAATTGATGACTAATGTGGCCACTAGAAATTCAATAAAATTAATTTTAGCTTCTAATTTTGGCCGCTAGAGGGCGCATTTCTAAAATAAAAGTAAAAAACTGCTTTATTTTTAAAAAATCAAATGGAACGATAGATACAACTTGAAGTTTTCGAGATCTTCCAATCATTCTTCAAAATTTTTGTAGGAAAAATTTTACTCCATCTTAAAAAATAAAGGAAGGCGGGTGGAAATTATTTCCTATGACAAAAAGTAAGATAACTCTGGATTGCGTAAACCGATTTCAATGAAGTTGGCCTTGTTGAAAAGACAATTGATTGCTTAATCATAACCTCAAGTTGAAATTCAATTTAAAAAATAAACAAACCGTCAATTGCCCCTGTTTTCTAAATGAAACAGTTTTATCGAAATGTAATGCCACCCTTTTTATTTTATGGTGTTTTTACACATAAAATAACGAAAAAAATGCCGCAATCCGGAACCTTATATCTTCCTTCAAACTGGAGTTATTAACAAGTTTAGATAAAATTATATTTTTTTGGGGGAGTTACAGAAAAATGCGTTATTTATTGCAACATCCAGTATTTATCTGCATAGAACACCGAGCACTTGATAAATTATTACTACCCTTAGGAGTCCGAATAATTTAATAACAATGCGAAATAAATTATATTTATTAAATTAACAATAATAGCTAAAACAAAAATAACCTCTTCACAAAAATAAAACAGGAAATAGAATACAAATTTATAATTTAATTTAACAAGTGTTCAAAGTGACCATTATTTTCTACAAAACATTTTAAATACCTTTGGTGGGTAGAAGACCGAATAATTTAATAACAATGCGAAATAAATTATATTTATTAAATTAACAATAATAGCTAAAACAAAAATAATCTCTTCACAAAAATAAAAGAGGAAATAGAATACAAATTTATAATTTAATTTAACAAGTGTTCAAAGTGACCTCCATTATTTTCTACACATTTTAGATACCTTTGGTGGGTAGAAGACACAGTAGTTTCAATTTCTGCCATTGAAATCGAGTTTATAGCGTTTCTCATACGATTAATCATATCCTCGCGCGTAGTTGGTCGGGTTTGATAGACAATATCTTTTAGCCTTCCCCATAAATAGAAGTCTAAAACTGTCAAATTGGGACATCTGGGAGGCCAACCCAATTTTCCACCTCTTCCAATCCATCTGTTGCGAAATTGCGTGTCCAAATAATAATAACGCATTTTTCTGTAACTCCTCAAAAAAATATCATTTTATCTAAACTTTTGTTAATAATTTCAGTTTGAAAGAAGATACAAGGTTCCGGCTTGCGGTATTTTTTTCGTTATTTTATGTGTAAAATCGATAAAACTCTTTTATTTGGAAAACAGGAGCAATTGACGGTTTGTTTACTTTTTAAATTGAAATTCAACTTAAGGTTATGATTAACTAATCAATTGCCTTTTCAACAAGCCCAACTTCATTGAAATCGGTTTACGTGATCCAGAATTATCTTACTTTTTGTCATAGGAAATAATTTCCACCCCCCTTCCTTTATTTTTTAAGATGGAGCAAAATTTTTCCTACAAAAACTTTGAAGAATGAGCAGAAATCGATTCTCGAAAACATTAAGTTGTATCTATCGTTCCATCTGATTTTTTAAAAATAAAGTAGTTTTTTACTTTTGTTTTAGAAATGCGCCCTCTAGCGGCCAAAATTAGAAACTAAAAATAATTTTATTGAATTTCTAGTGGCCATATTTGTCATCAATTTTTTCCCGAAATCCATAGGACAAATAGTTTCCGAGATACAGCCGGTCGATGACCTTAATGGGACACCCGGTATATTTAAACAATAAATCAATATGTTGAGATATCTCAATATCTTAAATAAGTCTTTAGTATTAAGGAAATATTTAATATCTGACGAAAAATATCACACACATTTTTGATATGTTAAAATTTTTGGTTAAAAAAAATTAGATTTTTTAAATTTTCGAAAATCACCCTTTTTATCTATATAGTATATTAAAGACTACGTTGTCGTATTTGACTTACTATTAGTTATCGTCACATAGATGTTATCATCGGTTTCCTCAGTAACAATTGTAATTTTGTCAGTCATCTGTAACGAACCACTTCCATCTACAACTTCATATTTTCCTGCATAAAGTGGATTTGAAAATGAAACAGATCTCTCTGAAAAATAGAAAATATTGTGTACTAACTACAATATCTAATAATTTGTGTTATTACTTACCGACACTGTTAATGTTGATGTTAAGTACAGCCGAGGAACTATGAACGGTATCTTTGATACTAACTTCTAAAGTCAATGTAATGAAAGAATTACTTTGTACTGCGTCGTCAGGTAAGTTTTCTTTCAATGTTACTGACAGTTCACCATTGGCGTAGGAGACAGCAAAATAATTTCTATAAACAGAACCTGCAAGACAATAAGAACCTATTTATTAATACAAAAACTATAGCAAAAATTTTGATTGATAAACACTTTTGTTATATTTTATCACACTGTCTCATTGAATCATAAATAGCTCACAACTAAGGAATCTTTTGAACTCAGAATATACATATAAATAACATTTTTTTAACTCACTAAATATATACTATTAATTATTTATGGTTTATTATTTTGTTTAATGTTTACCTTCAGAAATGCTGGGATCTATCAGATCGTCCGAACTAGTTGAGATAACTTTAATAGACTGATGCAATTCCAGGTTTCCTTTTCCTTCACTGATCGAATAGTCACCCGTATACAACACTTGGTTATAAATATATATTTCNAATGCAAACATATAAAAAAAGTATAAGATAATTTCAGCAGTTCAGCAGTAACGACTGCAAAATGATTTTAATTTGGAACAGAACGCGCGATTATTCGCGCACATCACGCGGTCTAAAATTTCACTGGCCAATTACGGGCGATGCAAGAGCATTTATTATGATATTTATGCAGTCACCTCGGTGAGAGGTTAATGCTATTGCTTAATACCCAAGTTCGTATAATGCTGAGTGACTGGACGGCTGCTTCATTGTGCCCCTTGTAATCCGCACATCGTTATTTTATTAATCTCCTATTCTACTTAGAATAAGTTTATTACGGATGATGCTCCACGGTTTCTCCTCTATAATGGAATTATCTGTAACGCACGACATACAATCTACGACGATTGTCCCCAGATATGGTCGTAAAGATTTCGGAAGATATTGTGATGTTACTGGCGACTTAATGTTTTATGGATATTTATTGGTTCATAAATTTACTTCACAAAGCTGTGATATGAAGCTATGCTTTTCTAACCCTAGAGACCCTATTGTTATTAAAAACATCGCAATAAGTACTGCAACAATTATTTTAATACACTAATGGAAAAAATTAAAGGAAAAAAAAAATCTAAATTTTCGGCGATTTTTCAAATGGCTGTACCTTTGATAAAAATGGTCGTATTGGAGTAAAAAAAAAAGCGATTTGAAGCTTGAAGTTTCTAATTTTTGGATCTTGCAAAAAAAATTGAAAAATTTTTTTTTGCAAGATACAAAAATTAGAAACTTGAAGCTTCAAATTGCTTTTTTTTTACTCCAATACGACCATTTTTATCAAAGATATCATTTTCATCATCATTTTTATCATTTGAAAAATCGTCGAAAATTTAGATTTTTTTGACCCCTTAATTTTTTCCATTAGTGTATATAAAACTTATATTTAGTATAAATTGAATAAAAAAAATCTATTTGTTTTAAACTTACATGTATTTATTGAAATAATCTCTTTTGCTATAAAATATAAATTTCTAAAACTGTATCATGATTATTAAATTAATTTTAAGGATAATTTAAACTTCTTGAAGTTAATTGGTAGGAGATTGCATTATTAGTACTTACAGTTAATTTCAACATTTAATACAGAAGATGACTGTGCTGTTGTTCCATTGATTCCGACTGTCAGTACTAAGGGTATAAATGAATTCTTGGCCAACACGTCAGTTGGTATGTCTTCTTCTAAAACTACTGTAATTTCGTTACTTGAATAGCTCACTGTGAAATATGATTCATAGCCGTCACCTGAAAACACAAATAGCGGATATACATTAAAATAAATGTAAAAATTTTCCTATAATAGAAAATTCTAGTTCGAGGTTCAACCAAATAAGACGTGTTCTCAGTACAAAAAATATAAATTATAATAAATTTTAGTGTCAAAGTATACTTAGTTCTTTAATTCGACTGTTGAATTTCTAAACTGTGTTTATTCTAACTTCTTACGATGATATTGCATTGAACATGACCTGATGTTTTATTTTTGAATACCTTTTAAACCCACTTGATAAAATAATCTGAACGTATTTTACGTCTTTTGTAAATGTGCGTTTATATTTTTTAGCATATAAGTGAAATGTAACTAATAAGAAACTCATGTTCATGAAGAAATGTACCATTCATCTCAACGACAGAGAAGTCTGTGTTGTTCATCTTCACAGACAAATAAAACTGTTGCTTATAAAGAATGACCCAAAAGTAATGCAGGATTTGAATTGTGCGCTGTTTTCATTCCGAAGAGTTGGCAGCATTGTGCAGAGTCATATGTTGTTGTAAACACTTGCGGTTAGACGAAATGGAGCGCTATGTGACGGATGGGCCAGAGAGGATTGTGTTAATTCATTACAAGTAGAGAGAGTGTGTAGTTGAGACTGTGCGCAAATTACGTGGAATATTCGGTAGAAGGAACACTCCGAATTAGACAACTGTGAAAAGATTAAATGCCAAATTTGAACAAACAGGTTCGGTTGCAGACAATAAAAAAACAATAAGAAAACAAGCCGACCTCGTACTGGCCATTCGGCCGAATATATTGCTACGGTTAGTTTAGCGGAAATTCCCGTAACCCCAATGCGTCGTCAGTCACTGCAATTAAACATTTCAAAAAACACAATGTAGCGGATTTTAATAAGAGATCTGCATCTACATCCTTTCAAGATTCAGCTAACCCAGGAATTGAAATCGTCGGAGTTTCGTTGATTAGTGGGTATTTGAACAAGCAAAACTGTCGAATTTGGGTCAGAGACAATCCTCGGGTCATCACCACTGTATACCTAAACAGTGACAATGTGGTGTGGGTTGCGCTAGTGGGGTAATTGGTCTGTTCTTTTTGAAAATGAGGCTGGAAACTCAGTGTCTGTCAATGGAGAACGATATCGATAGATACTATTGACTTTTTGTGGTCGTTTGAATGGTATGGATTTGGACATGTGGTTTCAACAGAATGGTGAATGAATACGGCATGTGAAACGATTCACTTGTTACGGCAGAAATTTAATGGACGACTTATCTCACGTAGCAGTGAAGTGACTTGGCCTCCAAGATCATGTGATCTTACGCCATGCCACTTTTTCCTGTGGGGATTGGTAAAGTTCAAAGATTATTCTGCTCGAATGAAATTCGAAGAGTTATCAACGAAATTCAACCGAAGGTATGCGAAAACGTGATACAGAATTTTCTTAAAAGAAGTCGAATATGACAAACGTGTAGAGGAGGACATCTATCCGATATCCTCGTTCATATTTAATGGCAATGTCTATCCTTTAAAAACATGTAAAACTTTGCCAAAGTTTTGAATTAATAAACACTCTATATAAGACATTTAATGAGTTTTGGTACTCATATGATAATAAAAGCAAATCAGTTGAGAAAAAGAAGTTAGGTATATTTTTATACGTAGTTAAAATGTAATTCATTCAATACGCACATCTGCAATAATCATATTAATTGTTTAAGAACATTTACTTAATATATTAAAATAAATTTTTGTCCTTTACTTCTTGGTCGTAACATAAAATAGCGAATTTTTAGTTTCTCGAAACTCGCGTCCTCTTTAAATATCTATCTGTATATTTTTTTCACGAATAGATAATTTTGTATACATATTTATACGCTATATATTGAAACCATTCATGCAAGAAATTTGTATAAAATATTAAATTTTCTCTTCAGATACACATTATATTTAAATATAACGAGCGTTCAAATAAAACCGTGGTCAAGTTGGTTCTGAAAATTTGGACCTAAGGCGTAGCGTATAGCAAATGAAATTAAACGTCATCTGTCAAAGCGCTATATCGCCGCTATCAATTTGAATATTTTCATTTTAAAAAGCGTTTAAAATGGTGTTTTCTCAAGAACAAAAAGTGTTTATCATAGAGTCCTACTTTAGAAATGGACGCAAGATTGATGGAATATGGAAGTATTCTATTGAGGAATGTTTCATAGAATTTCAAAATCAA